GTGTACGAAAAACGTTTTCGTACACTTTAAGTATCTCGAACCAGAGATCGGTGTACAAATTTAACTGTCTCACGTAGACTAACAAATTAATTTCTTTAAGAAAATTATAATTTCGCACTAACATCCCGCGACGGCTCTCTATGCCTTTCTATTATATTAATTGATTGTTATCATTTGAGCCATTCCTTTATATGTGTTAAATTGATATATACATTACTTATAATATCGAACTTGGCTTGCTCCTTAATTATTGAATAGTATTGAAATATATGGTATATTTCTTACATCTCCAACTTACGTATAATATATAAGCTTTCGATTCTCAACTCGAAATATAATATTATACCCGAATCTTATATAAAAGTAATAAACTTGAAATTAAACGTATTATACGTTTAATATTGAATTTGAAGTTCTAATAGAAAATCTATATGTTAAATGTCTAAAGAGAAAATTATTAATTTAATGGAAAGATCAAAGAATATAACTCTTTTGCTAAATAATTATTTTACAATAACATTTAATCTTCGAATATATTAATTTGAAAGAAAATTTAAGAAGAAAATTAACTCTTGCAAAAGAGAAAAACGAAACAGAAATAAGAATTGAATTAATAATTCAAAATGGATTAGAATAGGCGAATCAGAGTGAATCGTCGCCATACAGTTGACAGTCACGTTTTGCGGTTGAAATTGATATCAAGCCATCTGTGCTAATGTTACGTTAATTCAATATCGTGATGTTTTGCGATGTGTTCTGAGGATGAAATCGATAAGAGTATCAAAAATTTCGCGACTCGTCGACTAAAGTTAAAAAATGCTATCGATTTCCGGTAGACAGAAATAGTAACGATTTCCGGTCGACAGAAAAACGTCGTGATATACGCGAGTCGGATTGATTTAATGAATTTAGTAAACGGTAAAAGCGTCGGAAACTGGGTCGAAACCGAAGACGGCTTCATCAAAATGCTATTGGCCTGTTACGGATCACCGGTCACTGTGACAGAAACTACCATCTCAACTTCCGGTGAGGTGTACACACGTAGCGGATCGTCAATTCATTACGGAATTTAGTGGGGAAAGGGGCGAATCGTCTGTCTCTCTGTACTGCGCATTAGACGCATCGCTGCAGTTTGTCGGAAGTTAGTTCTGATTCGTTCTTAGAAATGTATCAGACAGTTCTTCATCTTCTCCACATGTTCGATTGACATTCCCATGTACGAGCTTTACCGAGTTTGACTTCAGTCATATAAACCGAAAAGAATCAATTGATTTTCGAATACCCAATTCGATTAGTTGCATTAATTATTATTATTAAATCCTATTTTTCGAAAGATTTTTTAGTATTAATCTCTTGTTTATAAATAAGTCAGTATAACGCACATGGGTTTAAATATAAGCTGAATAACTAAATTTAAATAATTTACTTATATGAAAAATTGGGATAGTTGAGATATTATTGCGATAACGCTGTAAAATCCGCGTATGCTGATGCGTGTTTTTTTTGAGAATAAATTTGACGGTTTGACATAATTTATACCCGCATTGCCTCGAAAACATGTCCAAATTTCATTCGGATTACGTCCAACTTCGTAATGACTGTAGATGGATGGCAAAAGATAGAGCGTCAGCAGGACATTTCGGATAGGCAAAGTTACCAATGCGAAATCCTAACAGAATTTTAGAGATTATCCTCCCAGTATTTACGAGATTATCCGCGTAACCTAATTTCTCGTTCCTCTTTCTCTCCCCGCTTTCTCCTAATGGCCGACAGCTTTTAAGAAAGTTCTCATTAAAACTTCGGTCCATTATAAGGATTAGTTAATTCTGAGGATATAAACCATAATGTCGTCGGCGCATCTGCGCGATCGAAATCAATAATCTATAAATTGGACAGATTATTATAAGTGATTATTATATATGCGCGTTGTTTGAGATAATTGATTTATTAATTATTTAATAATTAAATTTAGCGATAGATGCTTAACGAACATTGTGTAATGAAATTACTTGTTAATTATAGTTATAATTTAATCGATTAAAAATCAAAATTCTCGAGTTAATTAAGTTATAATATAATATATTGTTTTTTTAAAGCAAAAAAATACTTATTTTTATATTATCTTTACTTGTAATGAATTCTAAGACGCGTGTTTCTTTCTACTTTGAAACTTGAAATGAAACATCCAGTACATACGTCGATGTGGATAACTTTCTACTGTCTGTAACTATAATAATTACGATAATTATGATAAAGCAGTCATCTTTTTTCTTTTTTCATTTAGAAACTGTTAAAGTAACATCTATCAGTTTTTAAAAATATTGGATAAGTAAAAAAAAAAATGCAGATGGAATATTTCTTTTTATTTTTTTAATTATTTTTTTAAATGTATTGTAAAATATGGTCGATAAAAGTACAATTAAAAATGGGATGTAGCTTCATCATTAAAAGATTATTTTTATAATGGCCCCCCATGCACGCGGACTCTCAATCTCGTTAGTAAATTACCCAAGCTTCATATTAACGCTTATGAGTTAGTGGTCCAGCGGTGATGCAACGGATAATTAGTTAGTGCATATATTGTCAATGTAGCGTCAATTTAGCGAAGCTGGAGCGCAATTTGCGACCGAGCTCACGTCTACCTTATTCAAATCACTGTCGCCGGAACCATCGAACAAGTTGAGATCGTAATCACCTGAGCTGTGCTCTTCGTCTGCTGAAAACTATAAAAACATGTGGCATTAGTGAATGACAGCATCGACAAATTATAAATCCTTGTTAGAGCAACATTAAAGATCTTTGGCTCAAACGAGGTCAAAAGCAATATTTTTTTATATAGTGCGCGTAAGAAAATATATCGTTTGCTAAAGTGTATGCATATAAAATAGAAATCAAATTATTGCTATTTTATTTGTAATATTATTTCGGTGATAATATCGTCTTACTGATTTTTCTATTTTATCAGAGCTATACAATTATTTAAAATATTTTAACATTTAAATTTTTAATTGTGTTAAGGTTAAGAGTTTTCAAGTACTTGATTATTTAAATTATGTTTAACAACTTGCTTATTCGCTTAACTAATCGAATATTCAATTACATTCAAAACAACTGAACATATTCACGATATACAAATACAGTTTAATACTAATATATTGTATACCTGCATTCTGCTTAGAATAATATTGCTATCGATGGATGAGAAGACGATAAAGAATATTTGTATACGCATATCAATAGCATTATATGGCATTATGGAGGATTTGAAGTATAATTATTAACATTGGAATAATGAAATATAATATAGGTAATATTATAGATATATAGAGGTATCCAAACGGATTTAATTAATCGCGTTTGAAGTGATTTGTGTCGTGCATCCTTTTCAAACTCTCATGTTGTGTGCTATATACGTATCAAAAGCGACAAAGGGAAGGTAAATAATTATCGCAGATTAGAGTAGCATTTAATTATTAAATTACGCATTATTAAAACTAATCGTGTTTGTCGAAAAAATAATAAAATATTACCGTAACAAAATAATTCTTTTTATGAAGTTATACATATGTATTTGTTACGTTGTTTATTAAACATTCAAATTAGATTCACTCATACTGGATTCATTATCGTTTACAACGAAATATCGTATCGTATGTATTGGTACATATATCGCGGATATGCCGATCATAATTTGCTTCATGTTAATTCGAAAATTTGCAGTTCCGGCGAACAGTATGCAAACGTATGAATAAACACCTTAATAATGATAGAGGAAACATGATGCCATATAACTGCCAGCAACTGATGTCAAATACACGCAACGATAGCGTATCGATTTTGATCAAATTAGATTTATCCAATCTTGTACATACCAGTAATCTCATATGTTTGGTATCAATATATATACCGATTTCCAGGATAATTCCAGAATTTCGTATACATCAGATATATTACACACGAGCAAATAATGTAGGTGCCTATTAGAGTAAAAACATGATACTTTTACTTTAGAGAAAGCTGTACGTTCGAATCGAGTAATCATTGAACTTTCAATAAATAATTTTTTTTATAATGGACACTGTATATAGTTTATATATGGAGCAAACTACAGTTTTTTTTATAAAATATAATTTATTTGAATTTAACTTTGTGAAAAGTTATGACGTACTGTGAGATAAATATTACGTATTGATAATCCCAGATTTCTTTTTTTGGTACTTCCTCTGCTAGTGCTCGTTGATTTGCACTTAAATATCGGCATTTTCCTGAAATTTTTCGGGCTGGTATCGAATAAACGTATCTTCAAGAGCTGAGCACTCGAATGAAAGAGCACTCGACCTCGATCACAGACAAGCCCAAAATATTCGATGATATAGAGAGATAAAATATCGCTGCATTTGCAGTGAGTATTTCACGATATCGAGGGACGAGGTTAGGACTCAAATATGAGAGTATTAGTTGTACAATATGCTGATCTATCTTTCGAGAAAGCTTAGCATTTTTACGACAAAGAATATTATATACATAATATTCTAGAATAAAAAGTGAACAAATAACGTTGTTGTTCATCGTCAAATGTAAAATAAATTGTCTCCTTAGGGAAAATATTGAATAAGCATTAATTTAAAAAAATTTTTTAAATTATAATTGATATTTTGATCATGAAATTTTTCATTAAAATCTTGTTAAAGTCCATCGTAAGTTGAATGACAGATTTATGTAATATCTCTGAAGTAATTCGCGAACAGTATTTCAGTTTTATTGGTTTATAAGTTATTTTACTTGTTCGAAAATTATTAATGGCTGGATATTTTTACCAGTAGAAATTTATTCTAAATTTTGTAAGAAATAGTTTATTTATTATCAATTTTGGAAAACTTTATACTTTAATTCATACTTAAACAGTTATGAATAAAAAGTTTATAAGATAATAATTATATGATTTTATTTTTTATTTTTATTTAGTTAAAACTAGATATAATAGAGATAATTCACATTCATCTTAGGGAGTTTATCGCGCATTTTTATTAAAGTTTTCCAAATACGCACATCGCGTGTGCCACGAGAGGATCTCTGAAAGGATTTTTTAATTTCACATACTGGAGACGCAGAGAATGGGATTTGCAGTGTGAATTGCAGGGGTAGAGAAGTGGAGAGTTGTAAAATCTTCTGAAGGAGAATGTTATGAGGCAACGAGGGGCTGTGAAAAGGGTAGGGTGCTCAACGAAATGTAAATCCCGCGGCACGTGAAGCGAGTGTGAAATCTGCCTGTTATTCGCGCGATGCTAAGTATTAAAGCAAACTGAAAAATCGGCGCACCTGTCACGCTTCGTGTCGTTATACGTAAAGCGACTGAACATATTGATTAAATCGTTTCTGAAATTTCAGTGCATTGATTCTGCATTGACTTGAAATTTTTCTACTAAAGCATGTATCGATAATAAAATATTGGAATAAGAAACTTTATTTGCGAAGAAGAAAATAATAACGTAGATATACGCGAAGATAAAATTTTTTAAAGTTTTTAATGAAAACGTAGAGTACATAGAAAATATAAACATTTTTTTTCTTTTTTCCTAATTAAACTTAATTAATGTTATCGAAACTTATTGATTGATATTGACCTACTCATACCAAACATATGAAATATTATAATTAAACAATTTTTAATTTATTAACACAAATAATTTTCAACTAGTGAAATATGTATTGACTTTTTTTTTATGAGGAACAAGTTGGTCGCTTTAACTGCACGAGACCCCGCTATAACCCTTGCGATACGTAAGATCGACAGGTTCAACTCTCGATTATACAGCGAATTATCGTATCGCGCGCATACATACAGCCGTATACAGGCTGCTTCTAAATTCATGGCCGTGAGCTGCAAATAACAATAATTTCAACTTGCCGCGAGTTACAAAAGGAAATAAAGCGCGCGGTAACTCGATTTACGTGAACACCCCCGGGACTTCCGCTCTTTTTTTTCTTCCTTTTTTCCGCTGGATTTTATGCTTTTTTCGATACACTTGTGTTTTATAGAAGAGCATTATCGGTATCCACGCGAACCGCGTGCGTTTAACCGCGTCTGAAGCAATTTACATGTGGCATGTATGAACGTGAGTCGCTCATCTTCGGTATATGGCGCGAGTGACTTTTCCTTTATGAATTTGTAATTTTTGATTAATAGAGATTAACTTTAAGAACTTTATGTGAAATGCATTATAATAGTTTCATAAAACTTTCTCGGCGATTCTCTGACAAGACACTTACGCATTAAATATGCGATATCTATCTTTATTTCAATTAGACGATTAAAAACTCGCTTCTTTTATTAAAAGTTTAACGGAAAAAGATGTCTGTTCTATCATAATTATGAGTTTCCAATATATATCAGTATTAATGACACATGCAGAATGTACTTTAACTAAATTTTTAATAAAAGAAAGTCTGTCCGATATTTTAATTATTTGCTATAAATAATAAAAATATAGAATGCTTGAAACGTAGAAATATCTTTTCAAGACTTACTTCGTCCATAATGTCCAGTCAGACGGACTTTACAATGACGTATTTCCGATATTTCAGATCATAGTATGAATAATTCATAGAAAGCTCCAAGTTTGATTGAGATATTGCGGAATGACGTCCGAGTACTTCAATTTGTGTTTGATTCCACTTGATTTTAGTCTAAAAGACGTAACAATGCTTCCCTTCTCCGTGTTATCGTGCAATATGAAGGAATTTATCCGTCATTATCTTAAATAAACGTTATATTCGTCACGCGAGGTAGTTGAAGCAAGACAACTGCAGTTGAAGTCAGGTACGGTCACATTTCTACGAGGACATGGATAATGAGACATTTTTGCTGAAAAAGCTTGAATCTTGAATACGAAATTTATGCTGCGGATTTTTTGAATTAGCCACGGACTTTACGTTAAATTCAGATAACACGTATACCCGAGACTCGTGGAACGGTCACTCCTCGCCCTCTTTCTCTTCCTTTCTTTTCATTGTAAGCTTTCTTTGTTTTTGCTTTCTTTTTCTTTCGTCTTTGAGAATGTATTTAACGTCCCATGAAATTAAAATGTCGTCGCCATCGTCAAAAGAATGAACAATAGCCTTACTCTATCACGTCGTCACATTTACTATTACAAATTTATATTTCTCGCTCTTTGTTGCTAATCTGTAATTATATTCTTTGCTACGTCTTACCTTATAATTATCATATTAGGTATACTTTGAGTCTCATTTCATATTCTACATAAGAGTGTATATAAGAATATTTTTTATGTAACATTAATTTTTATATTAGTATTTTTATCGCGTGGACGAGAGTTATTTTCTTGAAAACTAGTAATCAAACATTTATTGTATATACTTAGCTTATTTTTTGTGGCACATTTTTTTTTATTTTATTCTTGTTTCACATTTAAATATCTATATCAGCTCAAGCTTTTTTAGTCCTGTCTTTCTTGCAGAGGTACATTAAATTTGATTAAAAGCAAAAACTTCTCTGTTTTAAATATAGTTCAATAGTTTCAATTTTTTATCCTTTTGTCTTTTATTCTTAAAAAAAGAGATTTATTGCATTTTCTATCTTTATATAACCTCTGTAGTATCATATATCATATTGCAGTGAAATCTATTCTATTTACTCTATCACATATATTATGTATGCGAAGCCAAGCTCAATCTAAAACCAATTATGTCATTTACCTAACCA